AATCTCTAAACATTGAAGGCAGTTCAACGACCTTGGCACCTGTGGAAAATGAATGCTTCTGTTGGGTACTTCTACTCTTGTTCGTAGTTTGCACTTGCAATCACCCCGGACATCAAAACACTTGTCCACAACAAAAACCTAAACCCTAAACCCTAAACCCTCAACCTCTAAAACCTAAACCCTAAAACCTACGCCCCATAAACCCCAGACCCCTGAACTGAGCCTACTTGACGGAAGTTGTATGATCCGCGTCACGGCGTAGCAGAACCAACAGATCGACTGGAAGGATGATGAGTAGGGTGTAGGGTTCAGGTTTACTCCTAGCTAGCCCTCATAATTAAGTATCATTGCAGGGGCTATGCGTGAGTATAGATAACTATAGCCTTATGTTTGCAACCTGACTTGCAGAGGTCCATGATGCCAAGGTCCTAAAACACAAAGTCGCAACAGTCCACACCACATCCTTCAAGTACTCCGCCCTGAACCCCGAAAACCGACACCGACCGCCTCAAGGCTGAAACCTAAACCCTGGAACAGCCTTACTGCAATTACTTACCAATTCTATTTTGGGGGCTCCTTATTGTAGTTGTAGTATCATGAGCCCCCCGAAACCCTATTCTAGTTATAATAAGGAACACTAAGTCACTAAGTAATAATACAGGTAATTATCATAAGGCCCCTACAGTTCATTCTATAAGCCCCGAGCCCCAACACTGCGGGCGACCTGTGGTGGAAGGGCGTCTTCCTGGCTTCGCGCCTCAAAGGTTTAGGGGTTTCTTATGGGTTTAGGGGTTTATGGTTTAGGGTTTAGGTTTTTAGGTATTAGGGTTTAGGGGGTTAGGGTTTTGGGTCTCGGGTTTTTGGGGTTTAGGCGAGGCAGCTCTGAACCCAAAGCTCCCCGAACCTGGTATTGGAATTAGAGAGGCTCGAAACCTTGCATGATAGGAGTATGAAACCGTAACGCTTCGTGGGACCCCAATTGAGGGTATCTAGAGTCTCCATTGTGGTTCCTTTTCGGGGTTACTTTTTAGGATCCTTAATATTAGTTAAACCGAAAAAAGAAACTACAATGGAGACTGTAGGTATCATGAGACACCAATTCAGAAGTCCCTTCGGCCCAGCAGCTGCCGAAAACTTGAACTTCGAAGGCCTTCCCTTCAGAGGGTAGCGCTGCGAAAGCTCAAGAACTACTCTAGGGGTTGAAAGACCACTCAACATTACCCATAGGCCCCTAAGCAGTTCCGTTTTGGGATTACCCTATAGAGTTCCGAATATGAACCACGAAAAGGAACTACTATGGGGCCTATGCGTAGGATAAAAGACCACTCAACATATTAACTGTAGGCAAGCATCACCGATGCACTCTAGTAAAGATACAAGAACACCAAAGTTTGCAAGCCTTGCTGGAAGGATCCTTCAGCTAGGTTAAACTGTTAAACCCTTCTAGGTCACGGATTCCAGCCAACAAACCTCCTTTCAAGTTCTACTGCCAAAGGGCTCAGGCTGTGACAGCAACTTCGTACTTAGTATTCGTCAGGCTCGGCTTCATCTGGGCGCCAGCTTAAACCCTAGATCCTAAACCCCTAAACCCCAACGAACTCCAACAGAATATCCTTAGGTGGGATGTTTAGGGTTTAGGGTTTAGGGTTTATTCTGCCGACTGACCAACCGAACCGCGACACGGTGTTAGGGCTTCAGTACCGGCTGGTCTGCTCCTGCTGCTTTTGCTGTTGCTCCCGCTTTTGCTCCTACTGTTGCTCTTCCTCTCGCTCTTGCTTTTGCTTTGCTCTTGCTGCTGCTCTTGCTGATGCTCCCGCTTTTGCTCTTGCTCCTGCTCTTGCTCCTGCTCTTGCTCTAACTCCTACTCTAACTCCTGCTCTTGCTCTTACTCTAAGGGTATGTGGAGCCTCGAAGCCCTCCCCCTAATTCAGAATAGGCTTTACAGGGCAGGGATGATTTCGGGAGGATTCGCCAAAATGTGTTTTTGCTCTAAGATGCTGGTAGCTATCGTCAGAAACAGATCGGGTTAAGTTTTGGAAACTTGTGCCGGTCACCGCACACCAGATCAACGCTCAATGTGTAGCGGCCACAAACGATGAGAGTTAGAACCCGCCTGAGGCAATTTAAGGAGCAGGTGGTGATTATGAAGTGCTGTTTTTTACAGTGTAATGGTTTGGCATTTGGTGGAGCGCTCAGATAACACAAGCACTATGAATGCGCCAGCATGCACACTGTTTGTGGGAAGCAAAAAGTGCAATCATCCACGGGTCGTCATTGATCCGTCGGGCGTCGGATGTGAACGATCATCTCAGGGTATGCTTGTGCGCCGTTGAAGATCACGAGCTCCCGGTGGACCTGCTGTGGACCGCTGCCGGACGGCGTCCCTGGGGCGGCGATCACCGAGTGACAGCGACCCCTCGATGCATCTTGCGGATCACGCAAAGGCTCGACCTTAACTTGAGGTAGAGGGCCTCTTGCATAGTGCGGGTCGCCGACTATCAAACGGGTGACGATGAAGCAGCCCTCGCTTTGCTGGCTCGCGCCGGAGTACTGGAAGGCCTTACACGTCTGGTCCGTGAAGTACACTCCTTGGCCGTATCGCCCCTTTTCCCGCGCCAGGCGCTCGTCGAAGCCGAAGTTGGCGATGAGGTCAACCTTGTCCGGCGTGGTACCGTGGAGCACCAAGACCTCATTCACTGTGGGGTCCATCTTGGCCCACTGGCAGGCAGCGAAACTGCTGGTGACTGCTGGAGCTGCTTTGCCTTCGAGTTCCTTCTTTACCTGCTCTTTGCGGAACTCGTAACTCTTCCAGAGTCCGATATTCTGGATTTGCTCAAGCTTGGTGATGGTCAGATTGCGGGCAAGGGTGCAATCACCATGATGATCAGCGGGGCAGCTGGCACAAAGTGCCTTCTGCAAGACAGCGAAGAGTCCGTCTTCTGGAGGAACCTCAACACGGATACTCATGCCTAACTGGTGACTCATGCGCCATGGCTCCTGCAGAAGCATGTGAGTTGTATGCTCCGCTCGAGGTTGCGGGGCCTTGAGAATCAGAAGCTGTGCTTCCAAATCTGCCACTTTGCTTTTCAAAGCAGCATTCTCAGCCAAGTGCCTGCTGATCTCTGTCTTGAAATCCTGGTGCTTCTGAAGAAGCTCAGGCACAGCTGCAGGGTTGAGCCTCTCTTCTCTCCTGATGGGCCGTCTGCGATTCGTCTTCGCATTCCACTGAAGCATGCAGTAGCAGTCGATGCCGTAGGTATATCCATTCGCCTTAACATAAAAGGTGTCGGAACCATCATCGCCTTGCCATCCCTTCGCCCAGCGATCCTCAAGCGTCTTTTGAACCTCGTAGCTCATGGGCTGCCAGTCCTGCGAACAGCCGACCTTATTGGACAAGAACTCCCAAACCCCTTCCATGGCAAGGCCCGGCTCAAGCTCAGGATCTATGGAGAGCTTCAGATCTTCGTTGCCGTCGCCATCCCACGGAACCTGCCAGCCAGAAGTGGGAGGTAAGTTGCTCACATCTGTTGTTCCGTTGTATGCCCAGACTTGATCGGATCCCACTTTGGGACTGAGCCACCAGCCATGGAATGTGGGACCATCCCTCCCGTCCCAGTAATAGATACATGCGGAGGCATCCTGTCCAGACTTCCTGTAGACAGGCTTCCCGTGGTTCCACTCGCTTGCGGTGTAGGCTCCTGTAACGCGGTGTCTCACTGCGTGTTGTCCGCCTGTGTTAAAGGCGGCATTTCCATTCACGTGAACGGTTGGCAGAGTGTTGATAACGTCCGAGTCGGTTAGCTGGCTCATTTGCGTGTCTGCTGGCTTGCGTTTGCGCTGGGACGAGGCATGCCAGCCATTTGCACGCCAGTCTTTGTTCTGGCGCCACATCTGCAACAACAGAATCAGAAGGAATCAGAGAGCATGGCAGATTGGCACCCGAACGATCGATTAGGCAAGCGAGTTGCTGTGCTGTCTCTGTCTGTGATGCAAGATCTCCCCTAACCCTAAACCCTAAACCCTAAACCCAACAGAGTGACTGGAAGGTTTGGACGTTTATGGCGCTTAAATCACCGAGACCCGAAGCCCCAAGCAGCTGCACACTCTAAACTTCCTTGAAACCCATAAGCCCCTAATGAATCGCCGGCTAAAGGGAGCCAAAGAAATGAGAGCGGGACGATTCGGAAGTCTTGGCTTTTCAAGGCTAGCTGTCGACGGAGATATTCTCTGCATCGGGCCTCCGAGCTCGAAAGAAGTAGTCATCCTAGCATGAGGAAGATAATGGCTTAGGGTTTAGGGTCTAAAAGGGCTTAGGGCTTTAGGGCCTTTGGGGTTTAGGTAGCTTTTTGAAGCCCTTCGAAAGCCTCGAAGCCTTCCTTTGCACAGGGGGCCTCCTGGGAGTTGATCAGAGCCACGGTCGAAGACCAGATCGCCTCACTCCACCACCAGCCTTCTGCGGCCTGGGACAGAGACAAGGGGATTTAGGGCTTAGGGGCTGAGGGTTTAGGGTTT